GAATACTGGCCATCAAAATTGAACAATTATTGTAATTTATTGAAAGCTTTGTAGGTGTTTAACCCTGCTTCTAACAATGAAATAGCCTCCTAACCCTCAAGATAACTTTCAGACTTTTTTACATCTTTTCAGCTTTCCAAATAGGGAATAGGTCATATTTCTTACATCTACCACATGAGGGTTTCTTAGGAGACAAGGATGGAGTGTGCGGCTTGTATTAATGTAAATATTATTTGTTATGAACGTATGAAAGGAGACCACTCCCCTGAAGTAATCTTAAATGCTTAGCATTTGCTTTCCATCCTTTTAAGAGCTCTGTAGAACCCATTTTTTTTTAATATTTTTTTTTGGAAAGGCAGATTTACAGGGAGGAGTGACAGAAAGATCCTCCATCCACCAGTTCATTCCCCAAATGACCACAACAGCCAGAGCTGAGCCAATTTGAAGTCAAGAGCCAGGAGCTTTTTCTGGGCCTCTTCTGCAGGTGCAAGCTTCCAAGGCACTGAGCCATTCTTTGCTGCTTTCAATACCATGAGCATGGAGCTGGATGGGGGCAGAGCAGCTAGGACATGAACTGGTGCCCTTATGGGATGCTAGTGCTTGGCTTGGAGGTGGAAGATTTGAACTGAGCCATCATGTCAGCCACAGGACCCATTTTTTTAAATATATTTTTATTTTTAATTTTGAATTATGTGGTACAATTTCCTATAAGCTGGGATTGCCCCCAAAACCTCCACCCCCCGACAGATTTTCCCCAGTTTACTACAATAGTGTTGTCATTCATAAGGAATCATAATTCTATCAGTCACTTATTTAACTTTACCCTAACATTATTGGTACAATGTCAAACAGTCCAGCATCCCATTCTCCACACATATCCTACAGTTTCATTGGGAATCCATCTTTTGTCTAAAAGCAGGGATGCATGTTCCATTATTCCCCCACATCTGTATATGATACACTCCAGTACTTCATCGCTATACATTTCCATAATTGAGAAGCCATGAAACAAGCTCAGGAACTGATATGAGTTAGAACAGCCACAACAACAACAATAACAACATAAACAAGTTACAGCACCATGAAAAAACACACCACTGAGTAGCCAACACATGAGTGACCAAAAGGAAACACAGAAGTCTGTTGGGAAAAATGATGCCACCATGTAGTCCATGAGCCAGTGATGAATTCGACAAGAGAAGAGATTATTGGAATAAATTACAATAAAAAACATTAAAACACATGGGATACAGCCAAAAACACAAACAAAAACAGAATAGATCAGATTATTGAAGTTACACTTCCCATGCTGGTTTCCTTATATAAGAGAATATATGGTATTTGTTCTTTTGTGATTGACTCATGTCACTGAGCATAATGGTCTCTAGTTGGGATCACCTAGTTGTAAATAGTATAATTTCATTCTTCTTAATAGTTGAATAGTATTCCATGGAGTAGATTTACCACAGTTTCTTTAACCACTCTTCTTTGGATGCACATCTGGATTGTTTCCATGTCTTTGCTAGTGTGGATTGTGCTGCTGCAAACATAAGATTACAGATCCCCTTCTCATATGCAGATTTCACTTCTCTTGGGTATATTCCTAGGAGCAGGATAGCTGGGTCACATGGCAGGTTTATTTGCAATTCCCCAAACACTCTCCATGCTGATTTCCACAGTGATTGTACTAGCCTACACTCCCACCAGCAGTGAAGGAGGGTGCCTTTCTACCCACATTTACGCCAGTAGTTGTTGTTAATTGAATTCTGAATGTAGTCCAATCAAACTGAAGTTAGGTGGTATCTCAAGTTGGTTTTCATTTGTATCTCTCTGATGGCTAGGGAGCCTGAGCATCTTTTCATATGTCTGTTGGCCATTTGAATCTGTTCTTTTTAAAAATGTCTGCTCATTTCCTTTGCCCATTTTGTTACAGTACTGTTTGTTTGTTTTGCTGTCCCTGGGGTTCTGAAGCTCTTTGTAAATCCTGGATATTAGTCTCCTATCACTTGTGAGGTGTGCAAAAATTTTCTCCCATTGTGTTGGTTGCTTCTTCACTTTGTTGCTTGTTTCCTTTGCTGCACAGAAGCTTCTTGGTTTGATGTAGTCCCATTTGTTCATTTTGGCTTTGATTGCCTTTGATTTGGGTCTTTTCCAAGAATTCTTTCCCTGTTTCTATATCTTGGAGTCTGTTTCCTATGTTTTCTTTTAACAGTTTGATGGTTTCTGGGTGTAGATTTTGGTCCTTCAACCATTTAGAGTTGATTTTCATATAATGTGACAGGTGTGAGTCTTGTTTAACTCTGCAAGCTGCTATCCAGTTGCCTCAGTAGCAATTGTTGAGTAGACCAGTATTTTTCCCTGGATTTTCAGGTTTCTTGTCAAAGATTAGTTGACTGTACATGTGTGGATTCCCTTCTGGTGTTTCTGTTCTGTTCCACTGATCTTCTCTGTTTCTGTATCAGTACCAGACAGTTTTGATAACCACTGCTCTTTAGTATGTCTTGAGGTCTGGAATGTAGTATGTCTGGAGCTCTGGAGTTATGATTCCTCCAGCTTGATTTCTATTTTTCAGGATAGCTTTGGCTGTTCGTGGTCTTTTGTGATTCCAGAGGAACTTTATCATCTTTTCTATTTCTGAGAAGAATATTGTTGGGATTTTGATTGGGATTGTGTTGAATCTGTATATTGCTTTTGGTAATTGGTCTTTTTGATAATGTTGACCCTGCCAATCCAGGAACATGGTAAAGTTCTCCATTTTTCCAGGTCTTCTGTTTCCTTTTTTAATATTTATAGTTTTCATCATACAGGTCTTTCACATATTTAGTTAGTTAAATTCCCAGGTATTTAAGATTCCTCTCCTCTATTTTAAAGGGGACTGTACTTAAAATTTCTCATTCTTGGAATTATTTGTGTACACTAGTGCCATCGACTTGTCATTAATTTTGTATCCTGCTACTCTGCCAAATCTCTTATGAGTTCCAGTAGTCTCTTGACTGAGTGTTTTGGTTCTCCTTATGTAGAGAATCATGTCATCTGCAAATAGAAATAATTTCAATTCCTCTTTTCCAATTTCAATTCCTTTAATTCTTTTTTCTTGCCTTATACCTCTGGCAAAACAGTGGATATCCCTGTCTAGTTCCAGATTTTAGTGGGAAGACTTCCAATCTTTCCTCATTTAGTATGATGCTGGCATTGGGTTTTTCATAAGTTGCTTTGATTGTGTTGTAGAATGTTCCTTCTGTGCCTACCTTGCTTTGGGTTTTCAGCATGAAGTGGTGTTGGGTTTTATCAAGTGCCTTTTCTGCATCTATTGAGAGGATCATATCATTTTTATTTTTCAATTTGTTGATGTGATGTATCACGTTTATTGATTTGCAAATGTTGAACCATTCCTGCATGCCTGGGATGAATCCCACCTGGTCTGGGTGAATGATCTGCCTGATGTGCTGTTGGATCCTGTTAGCTAGTATTTTATTGAGGATCTTTGCATCTGTGTTCATTAAGGATAATGGTGTGTAGTTCTCTTTTTCTGTTGTTTCTATATCTGGCTTTAGTATTAAAGTGATATTGGCTTCATAGAAGGAGTTTTGAAGGATTGCCTCTCTTTCAGTTGTTTGAAAAAACTTGTGTAGAATTGGGGTAAATTCCTCTTAAGATGTTTGGTAGAATTGAGCAGTGAAGCCATCTGGTCCAGGACTTTTCTTGGTTGGGAGGGCTTTAATTCTGATTCAATCTCAGTGCATGTTATTAGTCTATTTAGATTGCTAATTGCTTCTTGATTCAATTTTCGTGGATTGTATGTGTCCAAAAATCTGTCCATCTCTAGATGTTCTGATTTGTTTGCATATAGTTGCTTGTAATAGTTATGATTCTTTGTATTGCTGAAGTATCTGTTGTTATATCTCCTGTCTCATCTCTGATAATATTGATGCATATTTTCTTCCTCCTTTTTTTTTTGAATAGTTGGGGAATCTATTTTGTTGATTTTCTCAAAGAACCAGCTCTTTGCTTCATTGATTTTATGTATAGTTCTCTTGGTCTCTATTAGGTTTATTTCCTCCCTTATTTTGATGATTTCTTTTTTCCTACTAATCTTGGATTGCTTTGTTGTTGCTTTTCTAGTTCCTTCAACTGTAAGGTTAGTTGATTTACTGATACCTTTCTAATTTCTTAACGTAAACACTGAGTTAAATGAACTTTCCTCTTAGCATCTCCTTGATTGTGACCCATAAGTTTTGATATGTTGTGTTGTTGCCTTCATTTCTTTCAAGCAAAATTTTAATTTCCCCTTTGATTTGTTCTCTGTTCCATTGTTCATTTAGTAACATATTATTTACTCTCCATGTGTTTGGAAGTCTTCCTGGGTGTTTTGACTACTTGGTCTCCAACTTAACTCCATGATGGTCTGAGAATATGCATGGTATGATTTCAACTTTTAAAATTTGCTAAGGCTTGTCCTGTGGCCTATAACATGGTTAATTCTGGAGAAGGTCCATGCACTGATGAAAAAAAAGTGTATTCTCTCTCTGTAGGATGAAAAATTTGATAGATGTCAACTAAGTCCATTTGCTGTAGAGTTTGGATGAATTCTGTTGTTTCTTTGCCGAGTTTCTGTTTTTTTTTTTTTTTTTTTGAATCTGCAAATTGATGTTAAAGGGGTGTTAAGGTCACTCATTATGATTGTATTGGAGTCTATTTCTCCCTTGAAGTCTATTAATATTTGTTTCATGTAGCTAGAACGCTGGCATTTGGTGTGTATACATTTATTATGGTGAGCCTTTGATCATTATGTGGTATCCTTCTTCATCCTTTTTGTTGCTCTTCACATCAATGTCTATATCATGTAAGAACGAGTACCCCTGCGCGTTTTTCCTTTCCATTTGCTTCAAATATCTTTTTCCATCCTTTCACTTTCAATTTCCTCTGATCTTTGTGATATGTGTCTCCTATAAGCAGCAAATAGCTGGGCTTTGTTTTTTGATCCAGTCCTCTAATCTATGAAAAATATGAAACCCTTCATGAATTTGCGTATCATCCTGTGCAGGGGCTATGATAATCTTTTCTGTATCATCCCAATTTTAGTATATCTGCTGCCGAAACGAGCACAGGACCTTTTTTTTTTTTTGCCGCCTTTTACACAGATATATCTCCAGAGCCAATTGTGATTGTTAAGGTATAATGTAGCTACCTATATAGAGAAGAAAGCGATGGGAATACAGTAGACAGACAGAAATAGAAGTATTCTCTGCAGGTATCTGTGGAAATGGCAACTTTTCATTTGTTAAAGTATAATAGACTGAATAAAAAATCACAACAACCAGAATTCAGATTCAGCCATACTTTAATATTCCCATAACTTATCCTTTAATCACAGGCTATGAGGAAAGAGAACAAGTTATTGTGATTGTCACATACAGTGCCAGTTCATTATCAGTAGTGTGCGTTGGAGAATTGACTAGGCACTATCAAGGGTGGCCTTCATTTATTCTTTCATTCATTTATTCAGTCATACATATTGTAAACAGGTAGTTACATTATAGTAGGACCTTGTAGACTGTTATATGTATGATTGCTATGTTTCTGTGTCATGTTTTGTATTTGTGGGATTCATTCAAAATTAAAATATTATAAACTTAAAATGTTTTTATTAAATTCCTGGTGCCATACACACTGAGGATGATTAATGTAAACAAAATAATCACTTTTTTTCCAAGGAGCTAACTTTTTGAATTATTAGAAGTGATGTGACTGGGAAATGATGCTTACCATAAGAATTTATTAGAAGTAAACCAAGAAAGGCGAGAAGAGAGTAAACATTGGAATTTCAAGTAATTAAAGCAGAGCATCTCTAGAGTGGTGTTCAGAGACATACAGAGGGTAGCAAGGGACTTGGTGTGAGACCATGTTAAAGAGTTGTTTGATCCAAAGGGCAAAAGAATTAAGGAGGAAAGTGATATTAGGTTTTAGAGATACTATTTCTTGACTGTATAGCTATATATGGAGAGAATCTTAGTTTCCTGGGTGGCATGTAGTTTATGACTCTTCTCTGGATGCTGGTAAGTTAGAGCAGAAGTACCCTCAGATGCTCAAGGGATCAGCCTAGCACTCTCAGGGTTTAGCCCTGCCAGCAGGCCCCCAGGTCACAGAGGGTGAGACAGGCGGTGGCCTTCAGCCAAGAACCACTGGAGACAAGGTGGTGAAGAATGTCTGCTTTATTACACACAGGTTACAGGATTTAAAGGGTAGGGAAGGGGTGGGCAGGAGGGAACCTTCCGGCAGACACCATGCCCACCAAAGACGCTGTAATTGGCTGTATGCCATGTCCAGCTCCCTAGATCTTCCGGTGATGTCAGAGGTCATGTTCAGGTATACTTCCCTTGACCTTCTAGCCCTTTTGGAGGTCACACTCCACCTGTAGGCCTGAAAGCTGTACTTCAGGCCATGGGGTAGATTAAACTTAAGCCACGCCTCCATGCAGCAGGGTGGGGCCTTGGACAGTAGTCCACAAAGCACAGTCCTGCAAGCTGTGTTCACCACATTCTTTAGAGTTTCTTTATATTTTACCATATTTCCAGTACTTTGCTAACTGCTGAATGAATGAGTGAACAACAGCAATTAACAAATATTTGGACGAAACATTGTTTTCCTTTTGGGTTGCATCAAAATTCATAGAGCAATCTATTCCATTTCACCTATGATGATGATTTTTGAGTTCTGGCATGTTTCCTATGTAATTTTAAAATCATACATTTTCAATATTCCTCCCCCTTTTTTTCTGACAGCTTTTCAACTCCTCATGCTTGAGTCCTTTGATTTTACACCTTCAAGTTTTGTTTCAACCCATTTCATGAGTTGGTTCTAAGCCAAGTTAAATCTTTGTTGTCCAAACCCAGTTGAGACTTTGGTATGCTGAAAATAGAACCCATAGTCGAGACAAATTTAATGGTCTGCTGAACAGTTCCCCATTCAACTTATGTTGCTAATTAATCTTGGAATGCCTTGTGTTAATAGCAAGATTCAGTTCTTATTTTAAAAACTGTTTGAGTGTCAGAGGCAAGTAGAGCCATTAAGTCATTTTGAACTCTACCCAGTTATTTGGCCCAGTCAAGCCAGAGACCTCTACAATGATGTATTACCCATTTCTGCCATCTTTATTTCCTTATGGTAGGGTCTTGTTTATATCAACTATCAGTTATCTTGAAGGCTGTGAGAGCATTGTTATAGCCTTATTCTTGTTAATACTAATAAATACCATTCATCATGGTACTTGAACTATGCCTTGAGTGTATCAAGAGAACTGACTAGGGGCCCAGCAGTGTGGCCTGGTGGCTAGAGTCCTTGCCTTGAATGCGCCAGGATCCCATATGGGTGCTGGTTCTAATCCCAGCAGCTCCACTTCCCATCCAGCTCCCTGCTTGTGGCCTGGGAAAGCAGTCGAGGACGGCCCAAAGCTTTGGGACCCTGCACCCATGTGGGAGACCTGGAAGAAATTCCTGGCTCCTGGCTTTGGATTGGCACAGCACTGGCTGTTGCAGTCACTTGGGTAGTGAATCACTGGACAGAAGATCTTCCTCTCTATCTCTCCTCCTCTCTGTATATCTGACTTTGTAATAAAAATAAATAAATCCTTAAAAAAAGAAAGCTAACTAAATAAGTAACAGTCATGGCAATAAAGGAAGCACAGTAATTGTATAAACTAATAGAAGTGACACAGCATTAGGACCAGTCGGTGCTGCTGTCCTGTCCACAGGTTAATTGTTCTTTAATGGCCACCATTAAACTGTAATTAAACCCAAGTTTGCCACTATATATTAGACTGCCTAAGGTCCCCTTTTGTCCCCAGATGTTACATTGACGTAATTTGCACCCATCCACCTTACAATGCTGGGAAGCAGATTTTCTCCTTGGTAAACTCTCCTCTGTCTTGAGATTTTCTGAGATGTTTATCCTGAGATGATGCTTCTTGTCTTTTGCTCTATGTTAAGGCTGGCAAGATGCTCATTTCCTTAGGCACACTGATTTCTGCTATAGCTCTTAAAATAGCATTTTATTTCCATTGCCCTTTAGAAAAAGACTGGTTTGAGTTCTTCAGTGGAAAACAAGAATCTGAGTTCTTAGTTCTTAGTTCTTCTTGCCAACTAGTTCTGGCTATTATCATGAATTATCCTAAATGTAGAAATGTCTGATCATTTCCAGGATCATCTAAATAGCGCTTCTGGCTTCCCTAGGTTTAAAATAGGTACCTAGATTTGAGCTTCAGCTTTCTAAAAAAAAAAAAAAAGTCAGTGTACCACTTCAAACTTTTAAACCTCACCCTTTCTGGAATTTTGTAAATTACCTGGCCCAATGACATAAGATCTAGCACATATTGGATCTCAAATGTGCATGTCCATTACATGTAGCATAGTCATGTTTAACTGATGAGACAGATACTATTGCCAGTTTGAAAGTAGAAAAAAATCAGCCACAAGTCCAAGAATAGTTCATATTGTAAATGAGAGCAGTCACAATGAAGTATCTTCTGTGACGGCATCTCAGAGTTTTTGGAACTGCATTTTTAAAAGATGGCGAGTCTTTTTCTTTAAATATCTGTGAGTTGGCTCCTAGCTCAGTGTTTGCTCTCTCATCCTGTCTATTTTGCTGGTCTATCTTCTTCGTGTGTTTGATTCCCTGGAGCACAGCCATCTGCTCTGTCTGTATACTGAAGCCCTTAGTGAGCTCAAGTCGTTAAATTTCACCTAAACAGATTTATAGCTCCAGTCTCAACTCCCCTAACTCTGGACAGGCATATCCCAGGCATAATCAATTATAGATGTTTAATAAATCTTTGAAACTTAATATTTTTTAAAAATCACAATTTATTTAAAACAAAACAAAAACAAAAACTTGTCCTATTTCATTTCTCTTAAAAAAATGGCAACTGTATTTTTTCTATGGCTTCCAAATTCTTGAATTCGTTTTTGATTCCTCTCCTCTCAGCCTTTATGTCCAGCCTGCGAAACATAGTCTTTCTTCCACGCACATTCGTGGTCATCTCTTGCCACTGCCACTTCCACATTGAAGTAAACTTGTAAGCAGCTGCCACCTCTCTAATCCTGGTTCCATCCTTGTCTTCTTTCTGCTTGGCTCTGCACCTAGCAATCTGAAATGCTGAGCACAAGCCAAATCACATCAGTTCTCTCTGGGATATAGTCCCATCATGAAGCATCCCACTCAGAGTAACAGCATCTTAACAGCACCCCCTAAGCTGCTTCAATGTCGGGCCCTTGCCTCCCTGATTTTCCCCTCGGTGTTCCCTCATTTACTTTGCTCCAGGCTTACTGATGTTCTTTTGTTCCTGAACATAACTGGCACACTGTTTCAAGACTTCGTGGCTTTCTTTTTATAAGGTGTTTTTGAATGTTCCCGTGGATATCTGGAGGGAAGTCTTCCCTCCTTTAGACCTTATCTGATATGTCACCATCGCAGTGAGTCTCCTCATGGCCTTCTGCTTCAAGTTGAAACCTGACACTTAGCCTCTCTCCCTTGTGTATTTTTCTCCAAGGTCTATATCTCCATCTAATGTTCTGTACATTTTATTTATTTTTAAGATTTTCTAGATATTCTGCCCCTAAAAAGGAGAAGCTTCAGGGAGGCATAAATTTTAATTTTATTGTCATATGCAAGTATGTAAACAGTAACTGACACAGTAAGATTTTAAATAAACACCAATTAAATGAATTTAATTAATAAATCATAGAGTTATTCTAGAGAAAATTGATATTAACAAATTTAGTTTTATAATCATTGCAGTTTTACTTTGAGATATATTCTATAGTACCCATGGTTTAGTTTACATGAAAATTTGGATTTTATCTCTACCTACTTCAGTTATGTTTGTTAGATAATCTAATTCCACAGTCTAACATTTGAAAGTTTTATTCTTAACATCTCAAATAATGAAAAGTAGTCCTCTTCAATTACATGGTTAATTATTTTCTGAAACATACTATTCTATCTGGAAGCTCTTATACAGCTAATTTCCTTGGAAACAAATTCCTTATTTTCATAACCTACTTTAATAACTTAGTTGAAAGTGCTCAGTGAAATTCACAGGAAAATATAGA